GTAGATAATTTTTACTTTCTTTGTAAACAAAGAATTCTAGAGTTTCTGTACAATGAACATGGACAATTTTGGTAAGCAGTTATTAAGTAAAAAACTAAGTTCAGAACACTGTGGGAAATGTGAAATATGGAAACAACATCTTCCCCGTCAAGGAACTTTTCCTAGGGCTACAGGAATCTCTGGTTAATGGCTTCCAAGGAATTTACCACTAGCATTGTTTAGGAAATACAATAAGATGAGAAGAATGGATTCTTAAAAAGCTTATGACACATTATGAAAAACTTAGAAAAAAATCCACTACTTATTTTTTTGATACAAAAAAAGAGTTCTTTTCTCGAATGATCTGATTTATAGTTAGGCAGAAGCTTCCTTATAAAACATTGTCAATAAGGGTGCAAAGTTAATGCATAGTCTAACTATTAAGTAGTTTATTTCTTCTAAAAACAGAAGGTCTGAATGTTTCTTTATATATTCTTTTTATCTTTCCTAAAATAAAATGTAGCTCTACCCCCCCCCATTTTTTTTACCACAACTTTTAAACCTACAAGTGAGGTTCTCTTTTGTACAAAATTATTTTACGGTTGTTACTTAGCTACATTTTCATCTGCTTCCTTGGACAGAAATTCAGTGTGAGAAAGGATTTCTGAGATCATTTGATACCCTCCCCCCTTGACTGAGATGAGGGTTAAGGCCCACAGAGGTTCAATTATGACAGCCAAGCTAAAAATAATCTCGGCTAGCACGGTTTATTGCTTCTTTAGACTTGTTCTCATTTCAATTTTATACTCATAAACTAGCAGAATTCTTTGCCATTACACAGTAGTTTGACTCACGTGTTCAGTTTAGTGTTAAACAGTGTCTCCCGTCGGGACATGCCGGTGATTGTCCCCCGAGCTGATGCTAACAGCGAGGGCCTAGCACATAGGGCCTGGTGACCGGTGCGTCTGCAGAACCTTGACGACTACTGCCACAGCTTGACCACGACCCGAATGGGGCAGGCATGAGGCAGAGAACTCAAGTATCTGAATTATATACCCACTTTCAGGCAGCCCTGGTGTGCTACATGCCATTTTTAATTTCCAAAAGAATCACAGACTTATAGCTTAGATTTAAAAGTAAGAAAATAATTTAGAATTTGGGGCTTTCTTCCGAATAGCAGAGGATCCAAGTGCGCCATTAAGGTGCAGAATGGATACATTGTTAAGAAAAAAGGAGGCTCTATTTGAATTACATTTTTTTTTTTTTTAGGTCACCAGGGTAACCTTCAGTACCCGTGATCTGGCAGACTACAAGCTCCTTGAAGGCAGACTACAAGCTCCACTTTCTTATTTTTTCTTTTTTTTTCCCTACCAGAGCTCCTGGCACAGAGCCAGCACTCAGCAACTTATGTTCAAGTGTGATGGTGAGAACAGATGGGAAGGATCTCCAGAGGGTAGGAGTGCCTGTAACCAATGCTCTTTGAGATAATAGCTTTGTGCTGACCCTGAAATGCCCCAGCTATATACAGAGTTCTATTTACACAATAAAGTTATTACTTAGTAAAGTAATTACTTTGGTGATTATTGGCTATTCACTTTAATAAAGAAATAATGAAAATAATAAATAATTTTTAATTTCCCAAAAGCCCCAGAGCTTTACATCTGAGGGAAAAAACAGCTTCGACACAGGGACCTGGGTTTGTAAATATGGAAGGCAATATTGTTGAAATGGAATATAACTGAGTGCAAACAAAATTTACTTAATGCTTTTCACATTTCTCGGGAAAAAAAGGTAAGGGAGACAAACGCCACAGAACAAAACAAAAGGTAAAAACCCGCGGAAAGACTTCCCGGCTCCATTCCTAGCAATAGGTCAAACACTGGGGCTACAAGGGCCTCGAGATTTCTTATGAGAAACTAGTAAGAAAAATACAGTGACTCATCTCATAATAATGCCCTTTCTTCCCAAAGTACACATCACAATTCCCACATCCCTGGCACATGGGCACTCGATGCAGAGCTGTTGCAACACGGCGCATCTCCCTGCAACAGCGCCCCTTGGTGGGCGACAGAAATGCCGACGCTGGGGTAATAGACCTCCCTGGTGCTGGGGAAGGACGTGAGGGGGTGCCATGGCTGCACCGTTCTGCCCTCCAAAGGAGGGAGATTACTCCCCTTTGTACTGCTCGATCTGGAACAGCGGTTCTTCTGTGCAACCACCTTTAAGAACCGGGGAGCTGAGGGCAGCTGGCTTCCTTCTATACAGGCTGAAAGGACCCCCTGGCAGAGCAGTTCTGAATAGGCACTCCCAGATTTCCTAACCAACTGTCATTTAGATATGGAGGAACCAAAAGGAAAAGGAAAAAGAAAAAGAAAAAAAGGAGAAGGAGGAAAAGGAATCCGCTACTCGAGGCACAAGTGAGGCGCCCAGGCTTTTGCTTGCGTACGGGCTCACTCCCCCGTCACTTCTGGGGCCATGGAAGACCGAATTCAGTAAACACTTAGAGGAAAATCACTGATGCTTATTGACAAAAACGCACCTCCAATACAGCTATTTAGGAAGCCAATTTCCCAGGCCTTGCCCAGTCAGACATTCCCAGAGAATAACTACCAACAGAAATGAGATGGATCCTGCCCTTTGGTGAATATCAATGTAAACTGATAAAGAATTCAAAGCTTTCCAGAAGTTCAAGGAATATGTACACAAAAGCCAGATATTACTGGCTTTGGGCATTTGAAGTATATAACAAGGAGTATGCAGGCCTTCTCTCAGACAGAAGGCAATTCTGGGAAGGAAGGATGGTTTATTGAGCCTCCAATGGCTAGGACAGCTGGGCTCTGCAGAGGTCAAACATCAATGAGGTGAAAGCTCCAAGGCACCTGCAGTGGAAGGACCATGTTTTTGGCTTGATGGACAATTTGCAGGAGGACCCTTTGCTAGGCCTGGATATTTCACTGTTTCTAGGGACAACAAGCTTAAGGAAGTGGTGGACTGGAGGCCTGAAAGGAGAAAGGGGTGCACAGAGCCTGTGTCCAGCAAGGGAGCTGGTTAGTGGTGCTACGTGTTAGCTGACTCCCGCGTGCGTGGCTGGGAAAGTGTGTGTATGTGAAGAAGGCACAGTCAGAGGTGCAGAAGAAGAGCAGCTGAAGAGCCAGAGACAGAGCACATGTAAAGAGTTGCTGAAAACAATGAAAGACCCTCATGATATGAACTCTGATAGTGTTATCACTAGAAGTCAGAACATACTGAAGACAAGGGTGCCTGGGTGACTCAGTTGGTTAAGCGGCTGCCTTCAGCTCAGGTCATGATCCCAGGGTCCTGGGATCGAGTCCCGCATCAGGCTCCCTGCTCAGCGGAGAGCCTGCTTCTCCCTCTCCCTCTGTCTGCCTCTCTGCCTACTTGTGCTCTCTCTTTCTATCTCTATCAAATAAATAAATAAAATCTTAAAAAAAACACAACCACATACTGAAGACAAGAAAACTGAACTGGCTTATGTAAAAGGCTCAGACTAGTCAACTCTTCAGAATGAAAATTCTTAACATTTAGGAAGTCCTCCAGATTACAGGATTTATGTGACAGCAGCTATAGAAAACTCAGATCTGTATAAAGACCAGTGCCCCTAAGGAGGATAATATTTCATTTGTATTGAAATGTTTTAATTCACCCTTAACAATTTAAGATATTAAGTATTAATATTACATATCATACAAGATTTAATTTCTTCTGTATTCCATCTGAAGCAATGACACTTCCTGGTATAGCTAATTGTTTTCTTAAATCACAGATCAATTTCTTCACTGCTCTGAGAATCAGTTAAGTTATATTATAGTTGTTTGCCAACAGCATTACTACTTTAGTATTTATTAATTTACTAAGACAACTCTAACATCCTGGGAACATTTCAAAGAATACACTTTTAATACTTTTTACCAAATTTGCTTGATTTATGCCATTTAATTGATAGATGAAGAAATAAGGGTCCCACTGGCTTTTCCAAAGCGCTCATCTGCTCCAAACAAAAGCTTCTCTGCTCTTTACTTTTCCTAGGTCCCTATTCACCCTTCTAGTCTCTATGCATTTATTTAAGATGAGGTAAGAAGCTGGTTTTAGACCATGTGGGCCAAATTTCACATTTCATATGGATTAAAAAATAATAAACATAAGGAGTAATCTAATATTCCCATAAATTACTTCAGAAGCATAATAATCATGTCACACTTCATGTCCAGGTTTCATGTCTGCTAGATTTTTTTCCTCTTTGTTAAAGTTCAAGTAATATAACCAAAAATATGAAAAAAAGTTTGCACACAGATAAGTTCAGATAGATTGGACTGTGGCTGCAGCAAGAGACAGACACAGACACAGACACAGACACAGACACACACACACACACACACACCCAAGTAGACTCTCTCAAGTGTATATGTTAAGCTTACAAGACAAAGCTGTAACCTACAATATTATGGGTGAGTTTTTTGTATCTATTTAACTGCATTGAGAACTCCAATGAAACAGGACCTGATGAAGCTTGAAACTAAGCCTGAGAAAAGAGACAGAAAAGAAGCCCTATCAGCAAAGAAACAACACACTGGGGAAAAGTACTGATTCTCATGAAAATGTCAGTGATTCACCATGGAATAAAATTCAAAAGCCACTGACCCCAATGAAAGCTTCCAGTGGAAACATGTGGATTTTGCTTCATTTCACTGAAAGACTTTGCTTTATCTCATTTGAATATTATCATAAGCACCATCACAGTTTTTGTGATATGTTGTTTTCCCATTTAAAACTGATGTAGAAAAGATAAGGCTGATCAAACTAAATTTTCAAGGGGTCTTCAGGATAAAAAAAAATAAAAGCAAACAAACCAAAACACATCAGTTAATATTATCATTTTTGGTCCCTTAAAAGATGCACTGAATGATGGATAGCCAAATGATAACTGAAGACAACACTTTTTTCGATTTTTACAGTAAGTTGTCATTTAAGCAGATTTATTTATATAATATTTTTGTACATACCAATTCTTCATTCCGACTTGCCAAAAGATCACGACTGAATGACAGCTGACTTACACAGACCACAAATCTGTCAGGAAATACACGGAGCTCTGCACAAAATGAAGAAAAGCAAGTTACTAAAGGCATCAAAAATCTATGAACAGAGAAATGTTTGGTCCCAGATTTTTCAGTTATAGTTATAAGCATGTATGTATCAGACACATGTCTCTTCTCCTCCTTGCCTTTCAGTGTTTGCAATCAGCAGGGCGGGGCAAGCACAGAGCTCTGGGGAGCACCCAGGAGGTTGCAAATTGGTCCACCTGAGCCCCTGGACCATTATATTATAACCCATGAAACCCCCAGGAAGGGCCTTTGCAGCCCTCCCCCTGTGTCAGTTTGCTGTTCTTTGACCAGAACTCACATTTGGGACACAGGATCAACGTTCTCTAATGAGTATGCAGATTTATACAGGAAGAGGAAGAATAGGAGATAAAATCTGAAAACTCGTTGACGTTCTTACTAATTACTTTACTTATCACCTCTTTGGTCAACTGGTCTTAGATCAGTCCCCTAAACTGGTGGGCAAATTCCCTATCTGAATCAGGCTATGAAAATAGCAGTGTCATTAATAGGAAAAATAATAAGGAAATAGTAAAATATGCGATAGCAAAGATGATACAATTACACTACAGTCCACTAATCTATCATTACAACTTCTTAAAGCAAAACCACCGACTTCCGGGTGGAGAAGGCTGAAGGAATCACAGAACTAGATGCCCCAACATTCAATGAAAAAAAGAATATGAAGTGGTAAATGCCATCTGTATCTTTCCTCCTCTCTCATCTGTCTGTCTATTCATCCACGTTCACTTACGCAGCCTCCACCTATCTCTGGAGTGATGTTTAGCTGATGCTAATAGTGTATATTCTGTGTGGCAGGTGAGGATCTTCTTCCTTCTTTATACTTGGTTGTATTGCTCTAATATTTTTATAATACATATGTATCATACTGATATCACAAAGCCATTTTTCTAAAAGTGAAAACTTCCCTCTTAGATGACCAATATTTCTAAACAGGGATGGTATGAATCAGATAAGTGAAGCCTTTTACATACATTGTTCATTTCCAACAATGGATGACAATGTGAGGGGCTGACTGAGGTAATAACGCCTCTTAGCCTGATACACTCAGGAGCCAAGCGTGAAGGTGCTGATTACAGAGACACACAACTTAAACACAGTTAACACCATACCACCTGGCTAGGTTAAATTACACCAAAGGCCTAATGAGTTAATGTTCTAGTAATAGCCATCTCCTTAACCTCTCCCCTAGACCACCGCTGTGTCCTTGGTGATCACTCTTCCCTATTCTATTTCATCCTACTCAGTGCAAGCAGGTTACCAGTTCTAAACAAAACAAAACAAAACAAAAAAAAACAGCTCCACTTATCCTGCTCAAAACCCCATCCTGGCTCCTCAGTATCTACCACAGACCTGCAAACTTCAAAGCCCTCCCTGAGTGGGACCTAAGCTATCATTCTGGTCTTACCCCCATTAGACCTCCCCATTTCAGAAGTCTGAGTGTGTTGAAACTCTGACCTCTCATGGATGTTTATCTGGTTAGGAGACTAGGGATAGACTTTGAAAAACCAAAGATAAATAAATAAAAGTCATTAATATCTATTCATTAATTCTTTTTTTAAGATTAGTTATTTAGTTATTTATTTGACAGAGGGAGGAGGGAGAGAGAGAGTACAAGCAGGGGGAGCAGCAGAGGGAGAAGGAGAAGCAGGCTCCCCAATGAGCAGGGAGCCTGATGCAGGGCTGATCCCAGGACTCTGGGATCATGACCTGAGCTGAAGGCAGAAGCTTAACTGACTGAGCTGCCCAGGGGCCCTTATTCATTAATTGTTAAAATTTCTTAAAAAAAAAAAAAAGATTTTATTTATTTATTTATGAGAGAGACAGAGAGTGCGTTCCTACGTGCAAGAGTAGGGGGTGGGGCAGAGGGAAAGGGAGAGTGAGAAGCAGATTCCCCACTGAATGCAGAGCCCAGCATGCCAAGATCATGACCTGAGCCAAAGTCAGATTCTTAACCAACTGAGCCACGCAGGCAACCCCAATTCTTAAAATTTCTTAATGAAATAAGTGGTAAATAGTCTGCTTCTCACTTTCAGGAAGAGGGAACTGAGCCACAGAATTCATTATCTGCCCTCTGCCCAAAACCTAATATTGCAATACAACTCAGTAGATCAGAATTCAAATTCAAAATAATCAGTTCTATCCAATAATTCCTCTGATTTGTCCTTTCATTTCTTCTCTGAAAAATAAGAATGCCAAATGATTAATTTTGAACATTTGGGGGCCAGGTATTGTATAAACAGAAAGCAACTTCCGTATACCTTTTCTTTGCTTAGGTCATAACTGAGATTTTTATTGTTTTAATATTTAAATAAAGATTTAGGCAGTAACTATCTCTACCATACAGAGTAGCTAGCCTTCATTTTAACAGACAGATACAAGGATACCTGGCTTATTTTACTAAGAGAACTGAACAAACTGGAAAGCCCCATTAAGAGAGTAATATATTTGAGTGACACTGAAAGTTTAAAAAGTGCAGATCATTGTTAAGATTCCAAGAGCAAATCTCCGTACAGTTTATTTTCAAAGTCCCTGTTTCATATCTTATATATTAAAATCATCCAAGGAAGTTCAGTTAGATTTTCTTTCCAATGTTCAGATCAGCTTGGAGAACTGTCATTAGCATCTGACTTTATTGTTGTTGGCTGGACGTGTTTGACATCATTTCCCCAATGGACTTCTTGACTTGGGGAAATGAGGAGGGAAGCTGGCCTTGTCACACACCTAAGAAAGGCTCTGACAGCTCTGGGCTGGGAAAGCATTTTCTTGTGTACACACTTGTTCTGTATCCCAGGGACTTGGTGTGCACAGACAAAGATGAAGTGATTCATAGTTTAACTGCCTGTCAAATCACTCTGGAAGCTCAATGAAAGTGCTGAGATGCAGCAGGAGAGTGAAGCACAATGTGGCTCGGCTCACAGTTCTCAAAATCAGTGAAAATTAAAAAACAAAACAAAACAAAAATCACAAATGTTTAGAAATATTCTTAATTACTACTTCAATTTCACAAAGGCAATGAAGCAAGTTGGAATCTTGGTTCCTTAATTTTCATTCCTCTCTAGAGCAAGTTAATAGTGCAAAATGCCTGACAACTCAAGAAATCAGTTTCTTACCAGTCCTCTGTGAACCCCCGAAACAGTGAAGGCGTATCCCTCTCTTGAGGAAATAGGCTGTGATTTGAAAGCCATAACCTATGAAATGAAAGAAGACATCATTGGACTACAAGCTTGTTTGCCAGTGAATCCCACAAGCCTCCCGAGTGCCTACTACATAGTAGGTGCTCAATAATTATTTAGCAAATGAAAGAATAGAAGGAATCAATAGAGGGACTCACTTGAGAGGAAAGAGTAAACATTAAAATCTGAGCTCTTCTAGCCGGGCCAGAGCACCTGGCTGGGATGGTCTCCCATCCCTGAAGTAGCTCAGTTACTTTATCTGTTCAATGAATTCAACCAAGAATTCTCTACCCAGTAAGGTTATCATTCCAAATTGAAGGGCAGATTAAGAGCTTTCCAGATAAGCAAAAGGTAAAGGATTCATCACCACTAAACTGGTCCTACAAGAAGTGCTAATGGGCCTTCTTTAAGCCAAAGGGAAATGGCACTATTAATTATAACCAAATATATACATTTGATTATAAAATATTAAAAACATATTTGATTATAATTAATTTATATTATATATTCATAATATATATTATATATATTCACATATACATATATATGAATGAAAGTAAAAAATCTTACTGGAAAAGGAAAATATATAACAAAGATAGTGGACAAGTGCTTGTAAAGCAAGCATGAAAGTTAAAAGAAAAAGGTAGTAAAATTCCTTCAAATTACAATAATTAGTTAAGGGCAGCATAAAATAAAAAGATGCAAGATGTGTCATCAAAAAATATAAAACATGGGGGAGGAGTAATAAGGTAAAGCTTTGGAATGTATTTAAAATTAAGTTGCTATCAATCTAAAACAAACTGCTACTTACATATGATATTCAATGTGAACCTCATGGTAACCACAAGGAAAAAAAAATATTCTTTTGTGTAAATACACAAAAGAAACTAAACTAACCAAGAAAAAGAGAGAAAGAGAAAGAATTCAAATAAAATCAGAAAGAGGAGAAGTTACAACCAATACCACAGAAATACAAAGGATTGTAGAGAGACTACTATGAAAAATGATACGCCAAAAAACTGGACAACCTAGAAGAAATGAATAAATTCCTAGAAACCTACAATCTTCCAAGACTGAATAATAAAGAAATATAAAATCTAAACAGACCAGTAAGGAGATTGAAACAGTAATCAAAAACCTCCCAACAACAAAAGTCCAGGACCAGATGGCTTCACTGGAGAATTCTACTGAACATTCAAAGACTTAACACCTATCCTTTTCAAACTCTTCCAAAATTTGAAGAGGACAGAAAGCTTCCAATCACATTTTACAAGGCCAGCATTACCCTGATACCAAAACCAGACAAGGGCACCGCAAAAAAAGAAAATTAGAAGCCAATATCCTTGATGAACATAGATCCAAAAATCCACAACAAATATTCACAAAACATATCCAACAATACATTAAAAGAATCATATTCCACGATCAAGTGAGATTTATTCCAGTGATGCCAGGATTGTCCAGTATCTGCAAATCAATCTATACTGCACATCACATTAACAAAATGAAAGATAAAAATCACAAGATCATCTCAATAGATGCAGGAAAAAAAATCTGACAAAATTCAACATTCATTTATGATAAAAATTCCCAACAAAGTGGATATGGAGGAAATATACTTCAATGTAATAAAGGCCTTATTTGACAACCCTATAGCTAACATCATACTCAATGGTGAAAAGCTGAAAGCTCTAAGATCAGGAACAAGACAAGGATGCCCACTCTCACCACTTTTATTCAAAAGCAATATTAGAAGTCCTACCACAAATATTAGGCAAGAAAAAGAAATAAAAGGCATTCATATCAGAAAAGAGGTAAAACTGTCACTACTTGCAGATGACATAATACTATGTATAGAAAACTGTAAAGAATCCACCAAAAAAACAAACAAAACACTGTTAGAATAAATGAATTCAGTCAAGTTGCAGGGTACAAAACCAATACACAGAAACCTGTAGTATTTCTATACACTAATAACAAAACATTAGAAAGAGAAGTTTAGAAAACAATCCCATTTACAGTTGCACTAACAAAAGAATAAAATACCTCCTAATAAATTTAAGCAAGGAGATGAATGACCTGGAGACTGGAAACTTTAAGACACTGAAGAAAAATAAATGGAAACATATTGTGTACTCTGGGAAGAATTAATATTGTTAAAATGTCTATACTACCCAACACAATCCACAGATTCAATGCAATACCTATCAAAATTCCAGTGGCATATTTCATAGAACTAGAACAAATAATTCTAAAATTTGTATGGAACCACAAAAGATCCTGAAAAGCCCAAGCAATCTTGAAAAAGAAGAACAAAGCTGGAGGTATCACACTTCCTGACTTTAAACTTACTGCAAAGCTGTAATAAATTTTGGTACGGATACAAAGACAGACACACAGATCAATGAAACAGACAGAAAGCCCAGAAATAAACCCACACATATATGGATAGTTAATATATGACAAATGAGCCCAGAACATACAATAGGGAAAGGGCAGACTCTTCAAGAATGATGTTGGGGGGAGCCTGGGTGGCTCAGTTGGTTAAGCGACTTCCTTCAGCTCAGGTCATGATCCTGGAGTCCCAGGATCGAGTCTCGCCCGCGTTAGGCTCGCTGCTCAGCGGGGAGTCTGCTTCTCCCTCTGACCCTCCCCCCTCTCGTGTACTCTTTCTCTCTCATTCTCTCTCTCTCAAATAAATAAATAAAATCTTAAAAAAAAAAAAAGAATGATGTTGGGAAAACTGGACAGCCATATGTGAAAGAATAAAACTAGACCATTTTTGTGTATAATACACAAAAATTAACTCAAAATGCATTAAAAACTTGAATATAAGATCTGAAACCATAAAATTCTTAGAAGAAAATGTAAGTGTTAAACTCCTTGACATCAGTCTTAGCAACATCTTTGTGGATGTGATTCTAAAGACAAGGGAAACAAAAGTGAGAGCCCACAAATTGGACTCCATCAAACTTAAAAGCTTCTACCCAGCATAGGAACGAACCATCAAAAAAAATGAACAGGCAACCCACTGAGTAGGAGAAGTTTTTTGTTTTTTTTTTTGCAAACTATATATCCGTTAAGGGGTTAATATCTAAAATACATACAAAATTCATTTAACTCAATGACAACAACAAAACAAACAACCTGATTAAAAAATGGGCAGAAGAGAGGCACCTGGGTGGCTCAGTCAGTTAAGCATCCAACTCTTGATTTCAGCTCAGGTCATGATCTCAGGATTGTGAGATCGAGTCCTGTGTTGGGCTCTGCACTGAGCATGGAACCTGCTTAAGATTCTCTCTCTCCCTCTCCTTCTGCCCCTCCTACCCTTCCCCCCTCCCCTCTACAAAAAGGGGGAGGGGCAGAAGACTTGAATAAACATTTCTCCAAAGAAGACATACAGATGGTCAACAGGCACATGAAAAGATGCTCAACACCACTATCTAACAGGCAAATGCAAATCAAAACCACAATGAGAAACACCTAACATCTGTCAGAATGGTTATTTAAAAAAAGATAAGAAATGACAAGTGTTGGTGAGGATGTGGAGAAGGGAACCTTTGTGCACTGTTAGTGAGAATGTAAATCCGTGTACCCACTAAAAAAAAACACAGTGGGACGCCTGGGTGGCTCAGTTGGTTAAGCATAGGCCTTCGGCTGAGGTCATGATCCCAGGGTCCTGGGATGGAATCCCGCATTGGGGTCCTTGATCAGTGGAGAGCCTGCACCTTCCTCTGCCTGCCGCTTCCCCTGCTTGTGCTCTCTGACAAAAAAATAAATAAAATCTAAAAAAAAAGAAAGGAAAAAAAACCACAGTGGCCTCAAAAAATTAAGAACAGAACTACCATATGACCCTGATATTCTACTCTGCGGTATTTATCCAAAGACTATGAAAACACTAATTCGAAAAGATATATGCACACCTATGTTTATTGCAGCATTACTTATAATAGCCAAGATATGGAAACAACCTAGGTGTCCATCGATAGATGGATAAAGAGAATGTGGTACATTTATACAATGGACTACTACTCAAACATAAAAAAAAAAGAATGAAATCTTGCCATTTTTGACAATACAGGTGGACCCTTAAGGTATCAGACTAAATGAAATAAGTAAGGCAGAGAAAGACAAATACTATATGATTTCATTCATATGTGGAAAACCAAATAAATGAACAAACAAAATACAACAAAAACAACAGACTAGTGGTTATGGGGGGGGGGGCAGTGAAAGGGTGAAGAGAGTTATCCGAATGTTATCTGGATGATAAATAGACCTATGGTGATCACTTCGTAATGTATACAGATGTCAAATTATAAAGATGTACATCAGAAATTTACATTTAAAGAGAAGAGGGCATAGTCAGTGAAATACTACATTGCCCCTAAAAATGAATAAACTACAACTCCAGGCCCTATCAGAAAAAAGTCTCACAAACAAAATTTTAAGTAAAGAAGCCTGGTACAAAGGAGTACATTCCATCTGAAAATGGAGACATTACCATTCATCTCATAGGGTAGCAAGAGAATTTCACAAAAAGTACCAGCATGGTTCCTTCTTCTCTCCCTCTCTCCCTTCCTCCCTCCCTCCTCTCTTCCTTCCCTTCAAGCTCACCTCCAGGTATAAACTACTCTGTTGATGACCTTCCTGGAAAGATTAAGGACGATTACCCCTCTTTAGGGGAAGAGGGGTAAGCATCTCCAGGTTCTAAGACAACCTCAGAGATAGTATTATATCCATGAAATTGGAAGGGTCAGGAGTTATAAGAGGTGGTCTCCAGGACTATCAGACTCTTCAAAATCCATGATTATCATTGTTCTGAAATAACTTTTATATATATGTGTGTGTATATATATGTATGTATACACAATATATATACACACACATACCACAAAGAAGTAAAGAAGTTCCCATGGGATGCGTGGGTGGCTCAGTCGTTAAGCGTCTGCCTTCGGCTCAGGTCATGATCCTGGAGTCCCGGGATCGAGTCCCACATCGGGCTCCCTGCTTGG